TGTATCCTGAAATTCGAATCGTTCGAAATTATTTCAAGCCTCGAAGTATTCTACGAAGCCTTGTTCTACTGTAAAGATAATTTAAACGAGGCTAATACTTGGAAATAAATTAACAAGTAATTCCGTCTTATCTCCCACGTGTCGTCTTGTTTTAACGAGCACCCCGCGTCAGCGCCACGAAGCGTCTCTGCCCGCGTCTCTCGACTCGGCACTTCAGTCAATTAAACTCACTCTCGCGAGAGGCAAGAATCGCGGGCAATGTCGCTTTTGAAGCGTAGAACGGCCAAGCGGAATGGATGCACACACTGCATACCATGAATGACGGTTTGGAATTTATCAGGCGGATCGACTGCGTGTCAAGTCGGGTCAAGGAGACGGTTCATTTTTCTCTCTTCGATTTCTTCCTTGCTTCTATCTTCTCATCTGCACCGTATTTCTTTCATCTTGTATTACACCACAGAGAGAGAAAAAGAGAGAGAGAGAGAGGTTCCCTCCTCAATTGAGACGAAGTTAGCGATGGGTACTGAAACACTTCGAATAGCTTCGAATATGTACATATATACATGTGGCGAAAAATTCGGGTCACTTCGAACATGATTCGATGCTTAAAACTCTCGAAAGTCTTGATAAGTGTTTTTCTTGATCTTCAATCTTTGAAGTTTCGATACGTCTTGAAAGTATCAGAAGTTTCGATAGGACTTCAGAGCCCGGTAAGCATTCAGCATCTTGCCAAGCTTTTTGAATGCCATTACGTAAGCAGTATCATTGACGTAAAATAGTAAAGATATGAATACTCGCATGTAAGATATTGAATATTAACCATGACTTTAAGACCTATTAAAACTTTCGACACTTTCAAGACCTATGAAAACTTTAAAGACTCGAGACTTATTATGACTCAGAATTCAAGATTTATCAAGATTTTCGATAGTTTCAAGTGTCGAATTAGGTTCGAAGTGATTTCGAATTTTCACAGTATTGAAAATCTTCCAATCGCTTCAAAATTAAGGTTCAAACGCCCATCACTAGATGGTGTTGTACCGCGAATTCTTCTTTTGCGTCACGAACGGTCAATTGAACTTTAAGGAAAATCGATAAATAGCATGAACGATGAACAGTTCGTGAGATTTGAAATTGTAACAGCCTGAGATGGAATATACTGTTAAAGAGAATTTTTGTTAAGAAAATTTTATGGGTCAAAGAGAGGAACAGGTTAAAATCGATGTTCACAGGGAATTGGAAAGTTTCACGCGATGGATAGAATTAAAGGACCAGAGGTTATCAGAGCTTTTGTTCGAACTATGTAAATATCGGACATCGGCCTCTTGCTCTCTGGAACCCGGCTCGATATTGCTCTCCTCCCACTCTCCAGCGTCGCATAATTAATTTTTGTCCATCGATATTCCACGTCTGTAACTCTTTTCAACGGTGGGGATGGAGGCGGAAACATTAATATCGCGCCCGGTTCCACGTTATCGGTTTTCCTTAAAAACTAGATATGAAATATGAAGGGTGTAACCGTACAGCGTATATCCATCGCAGAGGCCCGTAGGGAATTTCACGGGATCGATTATTTACGACGATTGTTTGCGGATTAAATAAATCCTGACCTTGTGCATGTAGTACCTTTTTTTCGTTTTTCGTTCAAACAATTCTTTTTTTAACATCTTTTTCGAATTTTTAACAGGGATTAAAACAGTTCCGAAAATAATTTTTAACACATTTGCCAACCGATTAGATTAGATCTACCACTTTCTATCGTATCATTCAACGAATGACAATTTTATTGAAAATTTTCCTAGAAATCTTTTTAGCACTCTTAGACATCTGTTCAAATGCAATTCGTTGGGTTGGTAATGCGTTAATAACTGTTATGTAAGGATTCTTTCTAAAACAGTTATAAAGAATCGAAATGATGTTGTAACTGTTGTAACAAAAAATATTTGAACATTAAGTATATATATTTGACTTTCTAGTGATATATTTCGATTAATTATAAAATGATTAGGTTGATGCATTTTTGTTATGAAACTTTATTTATTGTACTTTAGAATTACATATTTTTACACTTATTGTTAGAACACATATTTGGACACTTAGCAAAATCAAATATTTTGAATATTCGTAATATTTTAAATATTACGAATATTTTTGCCTGCACTAGATTTTGGAATATCGATTTCATATCGATTCGAAATCAGTTCTTACATTGATTCTTGTATTGATTTTACCAAACCGTTATACATGTATAAAAATTTCCTTACGAAATCATTACAAGGAAATAGAGACTGAACAATTAGACATTTAATGTTTCGTAGCTTTGGAAACGTTTATTAACACATTGTACGTCGATTTCACGTTTTTTGAAACAGTTGAAAGGCACGGAAATTCGTTATTTTTTCGAACGATAGAATCGATTCCCTTTGATCTGTAACATGCGCGTTTATCGCTTTCAACTACCTTTGTGAGCGATGCCAGAAACGGTTAAAAATCACGATGCGCTTCTGTTTTTTAAAACAGCGCGATAGAAAATTCATCTCTGATTTAATCGTCGTAGAATACACAAGTGTCACTTATGCAGAGATATTAATAATACACTTAAACTGTAACAGAATCACAAATAACTGAAATTCCTTGAAATAATTCGTAGATATAAATTCTTATATAAAAATGCATCGTTGAAATACTTAACTGGTAGGAAGCCAATGTAGAACCGATATATGAATCGATACTAGAATCGTAATCGAAATCGATATGTTCACCGATTTCGATGCTTTCTAACTGTCATAGAAAGTAACGGTTCTTTGATACTGTTTCGAGAACTGGAATCGATATTACATTCTTCAACTCTGGCTTTTTTAAATATCTTCCTTCTTCAAGCTTTCCAAACGTATCTCCAAGAATTCTATTGTACTTTACTTTTATCGCTTTTTTTCCTCATCGAAGTCTATAGAGATAACCTATTCCATCTTAATCGAAAAACGCTCCGTAACCCGGCGTGGCGAACGATGATGAACGATCGCGAAGATTTCCCGATCGAAACTGTTAGCACAACTTAAATAAACGTAACACACGATAGGCTATTAACCAAAATGTTATAAATGTAAGCGGCTGCGAAGGTACTCGGGTGTCTGTCTCGCTCGACGGCTATATTAAGAATCCTCTCCGCGTCCTATCCTGCGTTGCTCCAAAAAACCGTTGGAGCCCCCTCGTTCGACTTTCCGGGGAAAGGGCTTAGTTTATGGTACACTCTGGTACCCGCGCGCTTTTTCTTCCTGGGTGACAAAGTCCAGGCCACCACTTCGCCGCCGAAATCTCGCATTTCTTACAAAACATTGAAAAGCCGATCTATCATTCGCCGTCGAACTTCTATCGAACACGCGGGATCCTCCGCTAGTTGTCCGCGAAGAGATGAATGTCGCGGCGCGCTGACGGACGATGACGCCATGAAAACAATATCGATTCCCCTAGGTCATTCTCTCGCACGTTAGTTCACAAACCGCGATCGCCTGCGAAGCGATATTTACTAGTTCTAACTCGATCATAATTTTAACCGTTATATTTTTCCCGTAGCTCCTCCAACCGGGGGCGTGAACAAGTCACGTTTTTTCTTATCGACAGGGCTCCCTCTTTCACGGCGTGCTAGCGCCAGTTTATCCTCGTGCTCTTTCCCCGTGAGTTTGAAAAAAAAGAAGAAAAAACAAAAGACACGTTTAAAAGGAGAACGAAACATATGATAAAAGTTGATAAGTGTCAAACGAGAATTTTATGCGAAACAATCGACGACCACCGAGCATTTATATTTTTTACGATAATTAAACAGATAAGTTAATTTCCAACGATAATTTGCAACACGACGGACAGAGGGAGTTCAACGAACAATCTTCTATAGTCGAGCGTTTCCTTTTTCTCAGCTTCTATCCTCGTCCAATGATCTACTTTTTCGATTGATGTATGTTCGTACTTTTTACGCACGATGTAAACGCACTTCTCTTAACGCAACAACCCTTTTTTCATTCGTGTGATCTATTTAACAAAAGTAACGATGAACAAAAAAAGGTATAATAATAAATAAATGCGAACGCAAAACCCGTCACACCGTTTCTCAGAGTTTTGAGACATATACTATAATGTACTTAAACCATCTGTGAGTCTGCCTCGTCTTTTATAAAGTTCTTGCTATATTCAACTGATGGTGACTATTTATTTCGTATTACCTCCCCCTATCCCTTTCCGTCTGTGATTTTAATAAACGAAATCTTCACGACAGACAGATTTACGTGTTACGTATTACACCAGATGTTCATTTTTATTTTTATTTTTTTTTTTATTTTTGCTTCGAAAAAGATTACGCTCAATTGTTATTTACTATGATACAGTGACAAGACCATGGGACGTGGTATCGAATGCCATCAATCCTCATAATAGTAATACGAAACGGTCACTGGAGGCATCAATCAAAATATTCAGGGCAATATGTTACTTCATTGAATCCCGCATCGATCACGGATATATGAGACGGTCTATTATAAAGCGGCAAGTTCGAAGTACAAATACAAGTGATTGCAGTAATTGACCCAGAACAAGAAGTGATAAGTTTGTGACATGAAATTGCACAACCTGAGACGAAATACGAACAACGAACTTCACAATTCCCCTCTTTAAGAAACGTACTTATCATAAAAAACGGTTGTGTCGTAAAAGAATTAACAGAATATTGTCATTATCGTAAAGAGAAATAACAGGAAACATTATTAACGAGTGTCGTTGAAGCGAGAAAAATGATAAGTGAAAACTGGTACCTTTTTCAATTGTACCGTATATCTAACAATGTACTGATAACTACACACAGAAAGCGGATAACTATTTATGAAGCAGATTTGTCCGGCAGTTAATCATCGAATACGACAGTCGTATTGTGACCGTTGCTTCATTCGTTACGTCAAGTGTCGCGCCATAATTTCTTCCACGTTACGATTGCCACGAGGCTGTTTTTTTCAACAATTCAATACACGTAGTCGCATATGTCAATAGTGCATGCGCACCTGGCAAATATCAAATTCGGTGAATCTCATCGTAGCTGCAACGTTTATTTGTGATTAAGGTTATGTTCTCCACAAGATGAAGAAAGAAGAAAAATGTCTTGAGACAGTGTTAATTGATTGCAAATAAATCGGTGTGGTGAACGGTGGTCCTGGAAGCATTTATATGTAGGAACGGGTGGTAACAACGAATAGTCTATCAATTAACCGATACAGTATTGAATAATCTTCAAGACTTGGTGGTACATCGAATGATCTTCTCCTCTTTGTAATTGGCATATTATCTTAATTACCGTCGGTTATTGTACAAGATACCATTAGAGATTATATTTTTTACCGTTAAGATATCGAGGATTACGGAAGACATTTTTAGTCATCTATGCAGCTTATATTGTTACGTGCCTACAGTTGTAAAAGTCAACTACTTTTGACAAAAAAAAGCTAAAAAAACGGCGGCAGCAAAGGAGAAGGTTCATCAGCAAGGTCAACTGACCTATTTGGATCCACTGTTGATGAATGACAAAAGACACAAGATGTTGAGCCAAAGATTAAGTAATAGAAGATTATTTGTTGACCTGCTTGCACTAATGTTTGGACTTGGTGCATGGGTTGGTGTGAATGGCATATATGTTCAAATGCCACTTCTTGTGAACAGTGCTCCAGAAGGATGGAGTCTTCCCGCACATATGGTTATGCTAGTTCAATTTGCCAACTTGGGACCAATACTTTATACATTATACATAAAGTATGTGTGTGTGTTCAAAATGACAGAATGAATAACATATGATTTTTCTCTCAAAGAATATATATATATTATTTTTCTGTTTTAGATACAGCAAATGGGCATGTGATAAATATATTACATATGTACTTCTAGCAGCAGGAGCACTGTCTACATTTATATTAGCTTTTGTATATGATAAAACAACAATAATAGTTGGCAATGAGCATTCCACTGCTCTATTGTCATTGATGTTTGTAACTGCCACTGTTGGATGTACGAGTTCCGTTCTTTTCATGCCATACATGAGAAACTATAGAGAAATTTATTTGGTGTCCTATCTTGTAGGAGAAGGACTCAGTGGATTTGTGCCAAGTGTAGTGGCATTAATTCAAGGTGTTGGTGGAAATCCAGAGTGCTTAAACATTACCACGGCTGAATCTACTAAAGTAGAATTCACACTTTATTATCCAGAACCCAGGTTTTCATCTCACATCTTCTTTATTTTCCTTGGTACCTTGCTGTCCTTATGTTACTTCGCTTTCTTGGGACTGAATAATTTATCTATTGCTGCTGGAGAGCGTGTAAAATACCCAGGAAGCATGGAAACATTACCAACAGATACAAAAGCACCTCCTAGTTATAAAACCAATGCTGGTTGGAAAATGTCTAAACAAGTTTATTCCTATTTATTAATTATGATGGCAGTGGTTTGTTTCTTAGGTAATGGTACATTACCAAGTATTCAATCTTATTCTTGTTTGCCATATGGGAATGTTGCATATCATTTAACTGTTACATTGTCATCAATGGCTGGTCCATTGGCAATGTGTTTAGGTTTTTTTATTAAAATGCCAAAAGTGAATTACCTTAGTGGCCTTATGGTCATTCTTGTAGCACTTTCTGGATTTATTTGTTTCTTAGCTGTTAAATCACCCAATCCACCTTTACAGTACAGTTGGGTAGGTGAATTCTTAGTTGTTATGTCTTGGATATTAATTAGTGGTTTAATAGGGTTTATAAAATTGAGTATTACAACGTTGTTTAGACCTGATCCTGGCAGGGGTCTGTATTACACTGGTGTTGCAACTCAAGTTGGATCTCTTGTAGGGGCAGTAATGACATTTGTTCTAGTTAATCATGCAAAATTATTCCATTCTTATTCACCATGTTCAGTGATTTCAGTACATTGATATTTGATATCAAGTATAAATAGACTCATTATTAAAAATTATGAAAAATCAGTTGAAGAAATGAAATATTGGTATATTTTTTAGTTCCTGTTAATCATTATTGTGTTTAGAAATGCAGTACTTTACTGTTCTTAATACATATAAATAAATTTAGGGGATGTAACTAGTTGACTTAGATGTGTCAGAATCAGTTTTGTTTTTACAAATTTATTTTAATATTGTACACAGATCAATTGCAATTGCAAAGCTGAATTTTATACATCATTAGTATTAAAATTGCCTGTGTTGTGGAGTATGAAGAAAGAAAATCGTAAATGCTTGTAAATCTGTAAAAAATGTAAAACAAATATATTAATAGACTTCAGTGAGATAGATATATTGCATTTTTACTTTCATGGTGAATTTGATTCAGGTGATTGTACAAGACACAGATGTACTTAAAAAACAAATAATTCTGCATATTTAAACAAAATTATTTTATGTACAATGGACAGATGTATTTTTAAAATCCTAAATCAAAAATGTGCAATTTTAATATACATTATTGATTATATGAAATATATTTATCTGGATAACTTTCACATCAAAGTATAAATGTCTCAATAAGTGCTATGTAATTAGCAAATGTATTACAAAGTAGTAAACTATCATTAAGTCAATTTAAGTATATGTGTTGAGCCCAACTTGGTATTTTATCTGATAAATTTTATTGTCCAGATTAAGGATGAGTTGCAGGTAGACATCTCATGATTTCATCATGTCAGTTTCTCTTACAAGAGTGTAGCCAATACTGTAGAATCTTGATCATTGATCTTGTACTTCTTTAAATAATTTTATCTATCACATGCAACAAAAGTGAAATACATAGTGAAAAACCTTCTTTTCAATTGTAACATTTAAAAAGTTAACAAAAAATTTTGGTGAGAATATCAATTGTTGCAAAATATTGTATAAATATTAACAAAACAAATTTATTAATTTCTCATTGATCTTTGTTCAAGACTACAACAAACTTTGACATTTCATATATAAATGGCACAATGGTAGATGTAACACATGAATCAAAGAGATGTAATGGAAAATCATATATTGTTGTGCATCTTCTTATAATATTATTTGGTATATCTGCTTGGATTGGTATCAATGGAATATTTATTCAAATACCAGTGCTTATCAATACTTCTCCAGAAGGTTGGGCTTTACCAACTTATCTAGTATTAGTAATACAGACTGCAAATTTTGGACCTTTACTTTATACAATTTTACAATACTTTCAATGCAAAATAAATGAACCATGGTGGATAGTATGTTTGTTGGCATCAGGATCTTCTGCAATGGGACTTCTGAGTTTCTTTTATTCTGAAATAACTATTATTAATGGTGTTCAATATAGTTTGGTATTATTTGTCTTGACATTTTTCAATGCTTTAGTAGGTTGCTTTAGTTCTGTATTATTTATGCCGTATCTTCGCAATTTTAATGAAAGATTTTTAATATCCTATTTCATAGGAGAAGGATTAAGCGGTGTATTGCCGAGTGTAATTGCTTTGATACAAGGAGTTGAAGATAATACAGAATGCGCGACTTTTAAAAATAATACACATGTGGAATCTCCTTCAGATTCGTTTAGCTTAAACTTTTCTCCAAGTGAATATTTCCTTTTTATTTTTATCATCCTATTTTTATCTTTGACTGCTTTTGCCATTGTAGAATACTCTCCATTTCTTCAGAACTCAAAACACATTCATAAATCTGTTAGTACAGTGTTTGATGAAAAACAAATTAATGTTTCCCATAATCATGCTTCTGATGGTGTACAAAGAACAAAACATTATTCATTAGAAAGAGATTCATTTCTTCATGATAATAGTAAGTACTTAACAAAACAGATGCGAAATTATTTATTCATATTACTAGCTATTTGCTGCTTTTTTAGCAATGGTTTCTTTCCTAGTATACAATCTTACTCTTGCCTGCCATATGGAAATACAGCATATAAATTATCAGTTACCTTTGCTCAATTTGCAAACCCACTTGTATGCTTATTAGCATTTTGGTTTAAAGTATCTAACATAAAAATTATCAATTATTTATCTATAGTATGTTTGGCTATTGGCAGTTATGTTACATATTTAGCATTAGTGTCTCGTTCACCACCTCTACAAGAAACAAAATTAGGCATTTATTTAGTTATCATATCATGGACACTATTAATGGGATTAATTTCTTATTTAAAATTAATTATTGTATCAGTATTTAGAAGTACAATGTTCCCAAAAATACTCTTTTATGCTGGTGTAATTATGCAAGCAGGTTCTGCAAGTGGTGCAATATTTTCATTTGTAACAATTAACTTCACAAATTACTTTGAAATGCATGATAATTGTGCTTTAATGGATAACTGATACATTGTAAATGTGTTATGTACACTTATATAATTATAAAAAGAGGAAGAACAAATTTAAATGTTCTATGTGTGGCATGTATGAAATGGTAATTATAATAGCACTTTTATTGAGACAAAAGTATAAATATGTACATACTAAAAGTATGTATAAATATATTTATATGATTGTACATATGTGTCTGCATTTATGAATGAACATATAATGAATGTAGAGAAATGAGTAATACAAAGAAATTGTAAAAATGCCGAATGAATGTTAACAGATTATACACGTAAAAAGAAATATCCAAAAATGACGCCATACAATCTAGGTATAATTATCTACCTTTATCTTAAATATTGCCTTCCATAGTGCGTAAAAACTGGTACAATTCCAAATATTTTCTCATCGCCTGGGCCTATAATTGTATTTCGAAGTTGATGATTGTCAATTGGTTTTTAATAAACAGTACGTACATGGAGAAAGGTTTTTCTTGTACCATGAAACACATACAATATCACGGGGAAATATAAAACACAATTTTATAAAGCGATTTGTAACAATTTGTAAATTTAATAAAACGAATGTAAAATTACGTTTGAATTTATCAATTACGTTGTCAGCCCTGTCTTGGGAGGTGGTCCTGAAATGCACTAAAACGGAGATTGTGAGTCATGCGCACTCATGCAAGGCTGCATTGAGCACGAGACCAAAACGGTAAATAATAACGTCGGCAAACAAAAAAAAAATAACTGTTGCGTTTATTTCTTTCTATTGCGAGCTGAATCACTGGGACGTTTAACAGTCGATCGAATGATATTGTTTAAAAACGTACCGCTCAACACTGGCTGTTCTAGGCTAAAATGTGTGATGAAGAACAAAGTTGCGCTCAAGTTGAATCCGATCAAACGGATTCCCAATTATCTTTGTTAGATCTTCCAATCGAGGTTTGTACAAATAAATATTGCACTTTTTCTAATTTTGCTAAGTAAAGTGACGTATAAAAATATATACTTTCGAGATACAAATTTTCAAATCATTTGAGGAACTTTTGAATTTTTCTCCGATAATGCTCTCTGTATGAAACCTTTTATTTCAAGGTATTTTAACAAGATGTTTCATTTTTATATCTTTGAATACTAGTTTACGAAGTTATAATGCAAATTATATAGCATACCCAGTGTTTACAAACAACAGAATAACTGTCATTAATATACGTTTCAATAAGTTCATTTTAAAGCTGATTTTACAAATAATAACTGAAAAGATATTTCCAAAGTAAAAGTACAAAGTTGAATAAACTCGGTTAGCAGTGACCTATAACGTATGCTATTAAAAAAATAAGTGGAACATAGCGAGAATTTCATCGAGACGTCAGTGGATCATAGACGCCATTTTTAAATACCTATTCTTGCACAGTATATTTAAAAGTTCGACTTTAATATCCTTACGCACGAACATAAAATCTTAGTTAATTATTTCTATATTAGATGTTAGATTTAATGGATTAATATTATGTAGTCCTACGTTTTCCTTATGAAATAATTAATCAATTTTTACTATTATATTTCAGATATTTTTTCACATCTGTTCCTTCCTAGATGCATCAACATTAGTACATGGCTTGGGTTTAGCATGTAAACAGTTCCATCAAATTCTAAACGACAACTCACTGTGGAAAGTGAGGATAAGTCAAATTTTACCAAATACTGGTTATCCAGTTTTGCCTCCTGGTTAGCTCAAATTGATAGCACCTTGTGCCTTGCACGACCAATCATTCTGTAAATAAATGAAACACCATCTATTACTGTACACAATAATTAGTTGTACTTTACACTTTTCATGTATTGAGTTGTATACATTGTATTTCTTATAAAAACAATTAACTCAAAACCAAACTTTCACATGGTATATTCAATGATAAATGAGTGGTTCACAACTGTTAATCTGTTTTAATTAACACAAAAGGAAACACAATTCATAGAAAGCTATATTAATGTTACTTTTAACTTCTTACTTAAAATGTATTCTTACATGTCAAAATAACATTTGCTAAATATATTGTTCTTTTTAGCTGAGGATGATGAATTGTTTTGGAAGTTGTCATGTGTTGCACTAGAGAAACAAACATCATTATGGAAGGAAGAAAACTCTATGGAGAAGTTTACACTTAGCAATGTACAATACAGCACTATTGATGGTTTATTATTAATGCAGGCTAGTAGAGTAATATTTATTTAATTTACATCCTTATAAATTTATAATATACTGATAACTATTTTTATACATGTATATAGAATGGAGACATTTGTGTATCAGGAGCAAGAGACCGATCACTAGTATGGTGGAGGCTTCCCACAAAGGAAAATGAAAGAGAGAATGCAACATGTATAGACTTTGCTCATGATGGGTGGATTTGGGATCTAGCAGCAATAAATGATACAATCTATAGTTGCAGCTGGGATCAAACTGTCAAATCGTGGACGCTTACTACCACCGGCCTTCTTCCCTACCAAACTTATGAGATGTACATGAGAACCAGCTGATCATTTTCGCTGCTCTCGTTATGGGAAGGCCGAGCGAGGAAGGCACGAATATCCTTGTTCTTAAGAGATAGTTAGCCAGTAATGTACATACGACGAAATTAATATTAAGTTGGAAATAGTTTTTTTTTAAATTTTGCAAAAAAAGCAATCAAGCAACAAGCTTCGCTTTCTCTCGCTCTGCCAACAATGACTGTGCAAAATATATAATTACTGTAATAAGTATCTGATATCATATCTAAACATTACATATTTTTTCAGGGCCCGCTCTTGTGCTTTATTGTGTGTTGCATCGTGCCCGGATTCAGGCCTTTTTGCAACAGGATCATTTTGTAAAATTATTTTTGTGTTTGATCCAAGATCAGGCTACCGACCTATTGCGACGTATAAACCACACAAAAAGGCCGTTATTACACTGGCGATGAGTTCTAATTTTCTTTTATCCGCTAGTGAGGATAAAACGGTGTCTATATGGGATCAAAGAGCAGGAAGAACTATGAAAAATGTTACTGTAAGAATCTCACGATAGGAAGTTAAAAAAAAAAAAAAATGAAACTTGAATCGTTTTAAACGAGTATATTGTAGATTTCCCAGGAATCATTCCCTATGAGTATGTGTATGCAACGAGACATGGTTTATGTGGGAGATGGTAGTGCAAAGTTGCACGTTTTAGACCCGAAAAAAGATTTTGAACGAGTCAAGTGTTACAGCACTGACCATAAAAAAGGTATCAATGGTGTTCACATCGCACCCGGATGTTTAATCACGAGTTCTATGGACGAAACAGTTCGAATTTTCAGTCCCACTGATCCTCCTCAACACTTTGCCACTTTAAAATCTAATTATGGTGAAATAGCTAGTGTAAGTAGTGCAACACAGTATGTGATATATTTCTATGAAATCATAATTACATAAGTTTAATTTTGCTCCTTCCACAGATGGATTATTTAAATGACGTTCTCGCTATTTCTGGTACAGAGGGAATTGAAATTTGGAGACCAAGGTTGCGAAATGAATATTTATAAAAAATGTCAATAAATTAACAATTTCTATAAGCATTTCGCTTTTCTATGCTGTATACCACTGAAGTTTTAATAAATGAACAAAAGGTTAAAAAAAATATATACACTAAAAAAGAATTTAATAAATGCTTTGCAAAATGTACTGTTAATCAATAATTTTATCTATTTGTTGTTATTTGTTTATTTGTACCTAATCCAAGATCAATTATAAAGTAACAATGAATGAAACATATCGCTGTGCGACTATATTGTTCAATTAAGCATAAAAGATCATTAAAATACACGCTACCATAAATAGCGTGTCTTGTTACGTTTGAATTTTAGCCGCTGAACAGGAGTGTAATTGTTAAATTAAAAGCCCCGAAGATAACTTTTGTCAGCCTCTCTTATCAGGATAGAAATCATAAAATTGCTCATAAAGTTAATGTGGCATGCCATTAACAACTTAAATCTCGAAAGAAAATTACAAAGAACATCGTGTCGTCCATCGAGATAACGTTTAATTTCAAAAAAATACCTGAACTTGATGCAAATCCAAGCAGCAGGCCGATCGATGTCACTGCTGTCGCCGGAAGTGTTCGTCTGCTAAGTATCGAAAACGTTCAATTGTCTATCTGTATGAATTATGGGAAAACCGAATATCGTTACGAAACGATGTTAAATATCCATAAAATTGCTTTGAATAATTAATCGCGTGTCTGAAAGCACGAACTGGCGAGAATTAATTAAAGAATTCTGGTGTCAGACGCCGGTATCCTAATGCTTTCGTGGCGCGGTGGTGGGGGTAACCGCGGGGAGCTTCCGTTTATCTGCGAGGTCAGAGAAGGCTGGCTGCGTTCAGTGGTGCTGTTGAAAAACACGATGAAAATGGCGTGGCAACCGCAAGAGGAAGGACTTAGACAAATCTTAACGCTCCTGAAGGAGTCTCAGAGCCCGGATACAGATACTCAGCGAGCTGTGCAAGAAGTATCCTTTTCTTAATTAGTCGTGAATCATTTTGTGCTACGAAATATACGTTTTTGGAGATTTTTGTTCCCCGGTGAGTACACCCGCGACGCGGTAACGAAGTGAAGCGGGTAGGTCAATCGAGGGGCGTGCTTTTCTCCCTTGTAGAAATTGTGCTACTTCTAAGCAGGCTCGGAAATTTGGTGAAAAAAATGTGGCGATGAGTTCCAAAAGATTTCAAGGCTATTGAGATATTTTATTAGATGTAGGACGGGAAAATTGTTCGGCGCGCTTTTGCGCAGCCTGTCACGGACCCCCCTTTTTGTCGTCTACGGTTCGATTGAAAAGCTGTTAAGATACCGTGTTGTAACAAATAGAATTTCGTGTCATCGTACAAGTCATTTCATAATTGTACACGTTATTTTTCATCAAATCGTTCTATGATTGATATTAGGAATCGGTGAGAGTAGGTCGACAGAAGAAGTTTGTAGGTTTTTCTCGAATAACACGTGAGTTATACACAAGCGCCAAGAAATATGTTAACGATACGGAATCCCTGTCGCGGGGCGCGTCGGAAATGCCGTTAGTGTCGTTGACGAGTTTGTTTTCTTGACGCTTTAATCGATAAATCTTGTATATAGTTTTGTCCGTAATGTTAATTAAACCAAGCTGGAAATGACATACACAAAACAAATGTTGGTAGAACCGTATTCGTCGCCGAATTACAGCTGGCACAAAATGTACGGTTACAGAAACTTGAATTTTTTTTTACGCAGTTTTTTCGTATTAAATTTATGCCTCTATATATATACACATCTATTCTTGTATATAGCGAGTTTTAACAAGAATTTCACAGTTGGGAAAATTTATATGTTTGTAATTGATTTATTAATATGCGTGATGAAAAATAGTATATGTTTTGTATTACATGTGCAATTGTTTATTTTTTTATGATATTGTATTAAATATAAATGGAATATTTTTTTATCTTTATTATGTAATAGCAAATGCTGTGATAGATAATTAGTGGTTATATAAATGTGCAATTTTTTGTTTTTACAAAAATTGATAGGTTATGTTTCAATGTCTACTTCTTTCTCCAATTTTTCCTTAACAATTTTTTTTAGAAATTGGAAGAATTGAACAAATTTCCAGATTTCAACAATTACCTTATTTTTGTTTTAGCAAAACTCACAACAGAAGGTATGTAGTTAAAGCATAAATTTATTAATTTATATCTATGAAGATAAATTTTAATTTAAATGTATTTTTTCTTTCAAGATGAACCTACAAGGTCTCTTAGTGGACTGATATTAAAAAATAATGTTAAAGCTCATTTTTATAACTTTTTACCAGAAGTCACAAATTTCATAAAACAAGAATGTTTAGCAGCAGTTGGCGATCCATCACCTCTGATTCGTGCAACTGTTGGAATTTTAATAACTACCATTGCATCGAAAGGTACTGTTTTTGTTAGTCAATAATAATGGCCAATAAATAAGTTCATAATATTATAGAAAGACTTTTTTTTAATAGGTGAATTGACTAAATGGCCAGAGCTACTGCCTGCACTTTGGCAAATGTTAGACTCACCAGACTATTATGTTTGTGAAGGTGCATTCGGTGCTCTTCAAAAGATTTGTGAAGATTCTGCAGATCTATTAGATTCAGATGCACTCAATCGTCCTTTGAATGTTTTAATTCCCAAGTTCCTGCAATTTTTCAGACATTCAAGCGCTAAAATTAGATCATATGCTGTTGCCTGTGTTAATCAGTTTATTGTTAATCGTACATCGGCTCTTATGGTTCACATAAATAGCTTCCTGGAAAATCTCTTCCACTTAGCTACTGATAATGATCCTGAGGTCAAAAAAAATGTTTGCAGGTAGGATTATATTTTCTTTGTTCATAGAAAATATAAAATATTTTATATTATGTAACATTTATTTTGTTATTTGTTATAGAGCTTTGGTTATGTTGCTTGAAGTTCAAATGGAAAAATTACTACCATATATGCATGACATAATACAATATATGTTAATGAGAACTCAGGATTCTGATGAGACAGTTGGTTTAGAAGCTTGTGAATTTTGGCTTTCGCTAGCAGAGCAAACAATTTGTAAACAAGCACTTGCACCATATTTATTCGAACTAGTACCTGTATTGGTAGGTAGTTGTAAAGCAGAATAAAATATATCGCAAAAATATTAATAAATAAATAAATCTATAATGCATTTCCACAGGTAAAAGGTATGAAATACTCGGACATAGATATAATACTCCTAAAAGGAGATGTAGAAGAAGATGAAATGATCCCAGATAAGGACGAAGATATCAGACCAAGATTTCCCAAATCAAAAACACATCATTCACATCATTCTAATATGAATAAGCACACAAATGAAAACGGAGGTTGTGACGACGAAGACATAGATGGCGAGGATGGTGATGATGATACGACGCTTACCGACTGGAATTTAAGAAAATGTTCAGCTGCTGCATTAGACATGCTAGCAAATGTATTTAGAGAAGAATTATTACCAGTTTTAGTACCAATTTTAAAAGATACCCTTTTCCATCCAGATTGGGAAATCAAAGAATCTGGAATATTAGCACTGGGAGCTATTGCAGAAGGTTCTTGTGTTAACAATTCATAAAATTATTTTTCATTAGTTCGAGTCGTAATCTGATATATAATATATTATTGCAGGTTGTATGAGTGGAATGATTCCACATTTATCAGAATTAATCCCGTATTTAATTCGTTGCTTAAGCGACAAAAAAGCACTAGTACGCGCCATTACTTGCTGGACACTAAGTCGTTACGCACATTGGGTTTGTGCGCAGCCACATGACACACACTTGAAACCTTTAATGACTGAATTACTTCAAAGAGTACTTGATGGCAATAAGCGCGTTCAGGAAGCCGCATGCTCTGCTTTTGCAACGTTAGAAGAGGAAGCATGCACAGAATTAGTCCCTTACCTTGGATTTATTCTTGAAACGCTTGTTTTTGCCTTTGGTAAATATGCTCGTACAGAGATACTGAATCATTGGAATGTTTATTCTGTTACTAATTATTCTTTATGTGTGCAGGTAAATATCAACACAAAAATCTTTTAATATTGTACGACGCAATTGGTACACTTGCTGATTCAGTGGGACACCATCTTAACAAACCGGATTATATTAACCTGCTTATGCCACCACTAATTAATAAATGGAATGTGCTGAAAGATGAGGATAAAGACCTTTTCCCATTATTAGAATGTCTTTCCTCAGTTGCGACTGCTTTGCGATCTGGTTTTCTTCCTTACTGTGAACCCGTTTATAGGTCAGTTTTTTTTTTCACTCAAAGACTCGAATTTTGTAGATTTGGTCGTATCTATATGTTTATGTGTATTTTTTTTTTTTTTTAAATAGGCGGTGTGTATCCCTCGTAGAGCAGACGTTAAATCAACACATAGCAAATACCCAGAGTCCAGAACAATTTGAAGCACCTGACAAAGATTTTATGATTGTTGCATTAGACCTTCTTAGCGGCTTGGCGGAAGGGTTGGATGGTCATATGGAACGTTTAGTAATGAACAGCAATGTAATGCAATTATTGTATCAATGTATGCAAGATGTTATGGCTGAAGTTAGACAGAGTAGCTTTGCCTTGTTAGGAGATCTTACAAAGGCCTGTTTTCAACATGTTCTCCCATGTATACGTGAGTATTTTTATATTACACGGTTAATTATACTGAAATTGAATCTTTTTGAACGAATTCAATATGTTTATTCGTCAATTTCATTTATAGCCGAATTTATGCCTATACTTGGACAGAATTTAAATCCTGAGTTTATATCAGTGTGTAACAACGCAACATGGGCTATTGGAGAAATAGCTATAAAACTCGGTAACTTTTTTAAAATATTATTCCATCATTGAAACATATTACAAGAAGGATTTTTTAATAATACATATATTTTATGTAGGATCTGACACAAGTGCATACATCCCACTAATTTTGACTCAACTTATTGACATAATCAATAGACCAAACACGCCAAAA